AGGTTTTTTTTTATTTTGAATATACTAGGGGGAGGGTTGGGTTGGGTTGGGTTGGGTGGTACGGGGGAGGGAGTGTAAGGAAGAGGTCTTGGGTTCGAATCCTCCTATTTACACTAAAAAAAAAAAAGAACATACTACAAGATGTTTTCAGTAAGTTTGGAACTACTACAGACGGGATGCATGCATTTCGGAAAACAACTTCAGTAAGTTTGAAAGGGAAGTTGTTTTCCATAAGATGAGGGAAAATATTTTACATAGGAAAATGTTTTCAGTAACTTTTGTGCAACCAAACACGGGAAATTAGGAAAATATTTTCCCGGAAAACATTTTCACCTGAAACAAACGGACCCTATTTGTGAATCATTTACCTACATCGTAAATAGTACATAAACCAACATGGACTTGCAATATTCCACATCAAAATAGAGGGTTCTCTTGGTTTAGAATGTTTCTAGACATGTTTAGGAATCACTATTGCCTGGAATGCTGCGTGTACATGATCCCTTAGTAATCAAATTAAGTGAAGAAGAACTAATTGATTTTTTTAAAAATGAACTATTAGATTCTTCTGTTAAAGAATAAGAAATTGGACAAATATTTTATAGATAGACTTGGGAGGAGGAGCAGAAGTTGTTGCAGGAAGCAACCGATTCCTGAAAGTTCGTGGTCAAGATTTGACCCAAAAAAAAGTAAGGTCCAAATTATATCTTGTACATCTTCTTTCACAATACGTATGAGATTTATAAAATTTTATTTTATAATTATACATTATTGAAAGTGAATTACATTATATACATATAAAGTTACATTTTATATATTTTGTATAAAATTCGAATGATTTTTCTGACAACCGTTGGGCCGTGTCCGATAGACTCGACAAACAACTTAGTCATATGCGTTGTCTTCTTTGAATTGTGACTCAAATTGACATTAACATCATCATATAACCTGCTTCAAAAAAAAAAAAAAAAATCATCATACACCCGAATGTGACCATTCTTATCTTGTTTTTGTCGAATTCTGGACCCGTCCATTCTAAATTTTTATGCTTCCACAGAATTTTTGGGACCAGTCCATCCTGAATTAGTGTCCTAAATTATTTTGGGACCGGTCGTCCTTCGTAAACTATTGGAGGCCAAGGGTCCATCCTGAATTATTGTCCTAAATTAGGGACCAGTCGTACTTCGTACAACAGTTGGAGGCCAAGCCAGTCGTTCGTACACCCGAATGTGACTATTCTTACCCACTAGCATGCCCTGTTAACCATCAATGTTTGCAGGACGGACGATTAATCGGAGGAGTACTAGTGAAAGCAGCGGCGTTCCAATGTTTTCCCAATATTCCATCATCATGACTTTATAATAAATTTTCGTCCTTCTCCCTTTCATTCTCGTGTTTAGATTCGAAAGTAGATTATTTAAGATAATTTTGTAAAAAAAATATTATAATATTTTTTAATATAATATATATGAGATAAAAAATAATTAAAAATATATTGATAATGTAAGTAAGTTAATGTATGTAAATAAGGTGTAAATAATGTACAATCCAAACAAAATTTGTTTTCATAACAAATTTAAGTGTTATTCGGAGGAAAGGAAGGAAAAGAAAAGGCAAGGGTGTAGGTGAAAAAGAAAAAGAAAGGAAAGTGGTTTCCTTTCATCTTACTTGGAATAAATTTGTAAAGAATGAAAGGTGGCTTGAAGAGAGAGGGGGGGGGGGGGAGGGTGGTGAATTAATATGTTAAAAAATTAAAAATAATTTCACTTCGTTCCTTTTCCTTTTTATCCACTTTTGGATGGAAATCAATTTTTTTTTAAAAAGAAAACAACTAGATCCTCCCTCTCTCTTTCCCTCCTAAAAAATCAAGCCCAAAAAAAAATTTAAATAACTCTAATTTCTCTCCTTTCCTTTTCCGACCATTCCCCTCATAATTACTCTTTTGCAACTATTGCCAAACTCTACCTCTCATAAGGATAACAGTCCTAATTCGTTTGGATTGGCCATTTTTTGAAAAATAAAATTTTCAAATATAATGTTACAGTAATACATAATAAAAATAATTTAAAAAACATTTCATCCATATAATATATCAAATATTTCAAAAAATATTTATAGTAAAATTTTTTCATATACACTGCTACAATAAAATTTTTCAAAAATACCTCCAAAAACATCTAATCCAAACTGAGCATTCTCGGAGTAATGGAGATCTTTGCCTTTACTATATTAAAACAGCTTCAATGTAGTCTTCCTCATCCAAAAAGGCTTCAACGTGCATAGCATCACTGCTATTTTACACATTCATTATCATCCTCCATGTCCATCGTCATCTACAATTTTAAGTTGGCTCAACAGCTTGAAAGGTAGAGGCATTATGCGAGGCGTTATGCATTTTTTAGGTTCTTAATACAGGGGCATAAGCCCGGATGCGTGGGCCATAAGTCCCCAGAGGATTTGAATATTTAATAATTAATATAATTAATATCTGCAGAAAATATATATTATCTAAAAAAATTGGGGTTAATTCAATGTTTGTATAGATAAGTTTCAACAATATCAAAGCTTTGTGGGGGTGGGGTAGGGTGGGGAGGCGGGGAGCTTTAATAGCAAATAAGAGCATCCTAACCGTATATCCCACTCTTAACATCACCACCACACCCATTAGTCCATGACTCCTGCTTGTTTCAAGTCCCGTTTGGGGTTGCGGTACTTTTGATTAAAAAAAAAAAATACTTTTAGCTGTTGAAAGAGCTTTTGATTAAAAAAAAAGTACTTTTAGCAAAAGTTCAAGTTTGGTATTTTTAAAGTAGATTTTGTAATTTAAAAAATAAAATATCAAATTTAATCATTTTATCATGTATTATAAACCAAATAAAGAAATAAATACTTTTAAAAACTGTTAAATTACACATTACCTAATACAATAAGTACTTATTCAATTATATTTTTAAACAATATATTTAAAATCACTTAAACAATTGATAAGTATTTTTATTAAAAACTTTACTAGAAAAGTACTATTCAATTAACTATCGCAATCCCAAACAGCTCTCAGACTCTTAATCTCTTTACTTGTCTTTTCTTTTTCCTTTTTTTTTGTTTCTTTATGAAGTTAAGATAATTTCTTCTGATCAAGTCTCTTCCCATCACTTCCTTAACTGTTTCCTTGCCATACTTAATAGTTTCCTAGCGAAAATAGCCTCTTAATCTTTACTTGGTTTCCTTCTTATATGGCGTTTTAATATCCTAGGGTACGCGTTTAATGCCCCGAGAGCCGTCTCACAAGATGGGGCATTGTTCGACGTACATTCGGCTGGACCATCGCCTCCCCCTTCCCGACGCCCCCAAGATGTTTTACCCTATGTTTTGAAATTTGAACCGGATAACGATTCAAACGAGTTCAATGATCATGGGTTAAAGGGTCTTGACTGGTCATATCAATACAAAAAACTATTATGTCAATAATAGATTTTACTTTAAATCAGAATTCCATATAAAATACCTAAAAGCACGTTAAAATCAAGAAAAATATGTATATTTATAAAATGTTTGATGCTTCAAGCTATTTAACAAGAAAAAACAACCAATAAATTAATCAAATAGCAATTATATAGTTTGATGTATACTCTACAAGTTTAGAATTAAGTTTAGGGGCATATTTCAAGAATAAACTACAATTTATGACTGTGATATTGAGTTATAAAATATTTCTAGGTGTATTAATAGTTTTCAAAAACTCTAAGGGTCAAACCAGAAAATTAGAAAAACCTTGTAACCCGTACTACTTTTCCTACTATTTCTTCTCCCACGAAGCCAGCCACTCTTAGTCTTCTCCTGGTTTGAATTTTCTCCTTCTAGTTTTAGCCTGATGCTTCACGTAGCCAACCACTCTTACAGTCTTACTCGTCTCCTGGTTGTATACTATCCTGAAAGAAAGATGATTTGGGGACTAAGAAAGAGAGATTAAATTGGTATTTGCAATTTTGCTGGCAGTCTTGCCTCTGTTTCCTTTTTCTACTTTTTCTGTAATATTGCACCCTCAAATTTGATAGTGGATTGATACTGCCTAATTTGGTCTATAATGCGATTACTTAGTTATGGATTTTTTTTTCATGGTGATAAATACATATAAGCATACCAAACATCATATATGTGTATCAACACACTAGCTATACCCACCAAGGTTGGCAAAACTCATCACTAGAATAGGTTTAGTCTTTAAATTAATATTTTTGCCTAGGTTTGTCTCCAAATTATCAATTTTTAACCAATTTGATTCTTTTAATCCATTGAATGAGTATCTGGTGATTTCTTTATTATTTGTGTAAACATGTAAGCATGTCCATCCAAAATGATGAATCCGGATTTCATTTGTGCATTTTTAGGGTGATTGTTCAATTCTGAAAAAAATTGAAAAGAATGGATGGAAGCAATTAAATAAGGATTAAATTACATATAAACCCCTATAGTTTTATATAATGCCAGATAACCTCCTAAGATTTCAAAATTGCATATAACCCCCCTGTGATTTTATGAAAGTGAAAAATAAACGAAATATATAATCAGCTATGACTATTAGAATACACACACTCTAAAAAAGAGTGTGTGATAAAATTATAATATCGAATTAATTCTCTTATGATTTACATAAATATCTACTTTACCCTCTGTGATTTTTGCTTTTATCTACATAAGCCCTCTATAGTTTTGTATAAGTGGTTAAGTCGTTGTTTGATTTAGTATTTAAGTAAGTGCACTGATGGTATTTCAACGAATGACATTACATAGACTATTTCCCATTAAATTTACAATTTACATGAAACCACAGAGGAATGAAAGTTATTAGTAATTTACTCATTAAATAATGAGGGACCCGAGTGAGAATCACATTTTTTCTTTTCCTTATTTTTTTTGGAGGACCATTTTTGGTCAGGGTATTAGGACCACTTTACAAATTAAGGCTGACTATCTAACAAACTTTTCGTCCTAAATTTCTAACATTTTAATTCAGTCATTCTTTCTTATTCAGGGTTGAGTGCACATCTCTCTCTCTCTACGCGCACACACACACATATTCCCAAACTACATCTACATCCCACAATCCATCCTTTTCTTTAACATTGCTCAAGTCATTATGGAAACTGATTGGAATACGAAGGCTCTAGAGTTCATTGAAGAGATGACCAAAAATGCTGGTGAAGTCCAGAAGATGGTCTTGGCAGATATACTAAAACAGAATGGTGAAACTGAGTATCTACAACGATTCAATCTTGATGGTGCAACTGACACTAAGACATTTACATCCAAAGTTCCATGTATTACTTACGAGGATATTCGGCCTGAAATTCAGCGTATGGAAAACGGTGATCGTTCCGCAATCTTGACTGCTCTACCTGTTTCTGACTTTTTGCTCAGGTGAATTTTGTTACATGTATACACTTAACACCATATGTTCTTCAAGAAATTTTTTTTTCAATATTTGATATGCAGACTAGTTTCTTTAAAAGACGGCTAATAAATAAAATTTTCATAATTGATTATGAATATCTAGACCACCAGAAAAATACATAAATTAATAGCATTAGTTGAACAAGCTTGTTAAAGTTAAGCACCTTCATGAATTTTTTTTTTACTTAGCCACAAATTTTTAACGTTGGCAGCTCTGGGACGACATCAGGTAAAAGAAAACTGATCCCTATGCCCGAAGAAGAATGGAATCGTCGTCAGGTTCTATCAAGTCTTGAGATACCAGTCATGAACGTGTAAGACAAATTAATCCATTAAAGAACTTAGAAATGCCAGTCATGTGTATATATATATGTATGTATGTATGTGTGTATATATATGTATGTATTTATTTATTCCACCATGAAACAGCTATGTTCCAGATTTGAACAGGGGAAAAGGGCTGTATTTCTACTTTTCATGGCCAGAGATAAGGACCCCAGGAGGACAGATGATACTAACAGCCCTTAATAAATACTACAGAAGTGAACACTTCAAGAACCAAAGACGTGATCCATACACCCAATATACAAGCCCCTATGAAAGTGTCTTGTGCACAGATTATGTCCAAAGCATGTACGTCCAATTGCTGTGTGGGCTTTATCAACACAAGCAAATCAACCGGGTTGGTACTTCTTCGGCTTCAGCTCTACTTCGAGTCATTAAGTTTTTTAAACTCAATTGGCAAGATTTGGTTCTTGACATTAGAGTTGGATCACTCAATCCCAAAATAACTTACGAGCCACTTCGAGAATGCATGGCTCGAATCATGAAATCCGATCCAGAACTTGCAGATTTTTTAACCATTGAGTGCTCTGGAGAGAATTGGGAAGGAATTATTCAAAGAATTTGGCCTAATGCAAAGTATCTCCAAACTATAATCACTGGTTCAATGATCCAATATGCTCCCTCACTCGATTATTATAGCGGCGGGCTACCCATTGCAACTACCAAGTATGCATCCTCTGAGTGTTGCTTCGGAATTAACCTCAACCCCATATCCAAACCTGAAGACGTGTCATTTACTTTCATGCCAAACTTAGCCTATTTCGAATTTATACCGCAGGAACATCATTCTTCCAAGATGGATATCGTTAATAGTACTGTTACAACTCCTGACCTTATTAATCTTGTGGATGTCGAAGTTGGCAAGGACTATGAGGTCGTGATTACTACACATGCCGGATTGTACAGGTATCAAATGGGCGATATACTTAGAGTAACAGGATTTCATAATTCGGCACCAAAATTCAAGTTCTTGAGGAGGAAAGGTGTGCTATTGAGCATTGAAGTGGATAAAACAGATGAGGTTGAGTTACAAATGGCTATGGATAATGCATCCCAAATTCTCCAAGAATACAATGTAAGCTTGGTTGATTATACAAGTCATGCAAGTAAAAAGATAGCTCCAGGGCATTATGTTATATATTGGGAGTTGTCAGTTGGGGACTCGGACAAGAATGCACAGAGTGATGAGGTTATCAGCCGTTGCTGCCAAATAGTTGAGAACTCATTCAGCTTAATATACAAACAATATCGAGTGCACGGAGCAATTGCACCACTGGAAATTCGTCTGTTAAAGAATGGTACATTTCAGGATCTTGTGGAGCTTGCTGTCTCTAGAGGGGCTTCTATTGGTCAATATAAGGTGCCTAGATGTGTAGAAACTGGACTAGTCTTAGAGTTTCTTGATTCGAGAGTAGTTTCCAGTCATTTCAGCCCATGTTTGCCTTCTCTGGCTTCAGAAGAATCTGAAGAGTGACTCGTGGATATTAGAAAAAATATGTAGCATTTCTTATTGTTTCTTTACTGTCAAAGTGTACTATTTTGGAGCTATTAATCCTAATATCATGGGTGACCTTCCTAGTTACTAGATCAACCTGCTATAATAATTTCATAAACACCTAGAGAAGTGAATAATACTGGTGTCAACTCACTTTTCCTTACTTAAAATTACAAGGAACCAAGTGCTAGAATTTGTTGTGTAGACTTGTCATGGCTTTTATTAACATCTCTTCTTGAAATAATTCTGCGTAGACATGATATTCTATTCACAAATTGTATGTTGCAAGTCCGAATTTCTTCTTACAGAAAGGTGGGATGGAATTGAAGGATGTCTCTAATATTCATTATAAATTTAATGTGCTTATGATGTTAATATTCATTCCACTTTATTAATTTGACAATTTATCCTACGGCATGTGTGAGTTTTGTGTCATGTGTACTATTCTTAATGGTTAAGCCTAAAGAGAAAACATTGGGCGCTGTCCATTGGTGATCAGACCTAAGTTTATTTTATGTCCAAAGTTTACGTTCAAGGTTTGACTTTGTTAGCTTTTATTAGAAGACTACACCAGTCGGCCATTCTCTTTCAAAATTAGTTGATTAAAAAACATGATTAGACACCAGCAAAAGTTTCAAGAATCAGAATCACCTCTTACGATATTTGGTGCTAATTAAACTTCAGTTTTGATTCTCATAGCAAGAGTGGTTGAAAGTAGGGATTTTCTGAGTGTAAGTTTGTAATTCTTTCTCATAAAATAAAATGCTAAAATTTTTCCATACAACTTTTGCTAAAACTCAACAGAGGTCAGAGAATTTTCAATAAATGTTAAGCTAACGTATTAATTGCCACCAACTTGAATAAATTTTCTCTTTTGCTCCTTTGTTAGCTGACCAAGTCACGTTGTTATTATTTTTTCATTTTCGGTACAACATCCAAGCCGATTTCCAATTTGTTAAATAGGGGACGAGAAATAAATTATTTAAACCTTTTTCTACTAAAATTGTTTTAATCCTTAATTTACATTTTAGCTAAGTTAGGCCCTATTTGATAACTCAATTCAGCACTTGAATTGAATGGATTTAAATTTCAATATGTTTAGACACGTTTGATAATCAAAAATTGAAAATCCGAGTTAATTAAACGGTACTGAATTTCATAGGCAAAACTTGTTTCAAAAAATAAGCGATAAACTATTTACTTATTACTGAATCTAATATATACTTAAATGTATCTAATTTTATACTCAACAATTCAGTAATTTAATGGATTCAAACTTTAGATTTCAATTTTCGAGTTTTAGTTTTATCAAACGCACATCTTGGAACTATCATTTTTAATTGATTTAGTCCTTTTAACCAAAATACATCAAAATTGAATTCTTTTTTACCAACAGCAACCTTCAACTTATAAACTAACCTCATCACTTACTCAACGATTAAGTCTTTTATAATCAATAACTAATACAAAAGGAACAGAAGCACTGTGGCGCCCCAGCCACCCCACCTCCCCTTGGGAAGGGTGTAGCAGAACACTTGTCTGGGTCTCGCCAAGACTCAATTTGCAAACTTAATAGAAGTAAATATTACTTCAAAGTTTCAACAAGGTAAACTCTTACAGCCTTAGAATAGCAAATACAAACCTTTACATGTACAAAAGTTTCCTACCCATAAGAAGTTAGATCAACTTAATACTCAAAATAGCTCCAGAAGCATTCAACTACCAAAAAATATCTACACAGCTCCAACTCCCAAGTAAATTCCTGCACTTCCGGCGTATACCTTACACAAAATTTTGCAGAAAACATTTCAAAAGGACAGTGAGCTAAAGGCTCAGTGAGGCCATGATGTGTGTGAGCATGGTTTCATAAATAATTTTCAAACTCAAAGATTAGTATTATTAAAAAAAAATAACTGTATGTATTCTCAATACTACTATGTGTAGTATTATGGTAAGTTTTTACAAAAAATGAACACCCATAATTCACAGGTTGGAATGGATGTCAACAACTGATTAAACACCAAATGATATAATCTTTGCTCCAGCAAGATCCTTTTTATTACCATCAAATTATGTATACAATTGAATCAGAAAACAAACATCAAATATGTCAAACAAAGATACAAGATACAAAACTAGACAAACTTTTACCATCCTTATTATCTGTAATCTATTAAAACAAGTTAGACAAAGATAGCAATAGGAAATTTTGTTTAAATAGCCTTTATAGGGATGATAAAAGCCTTAATAATCAACAAGTTAACTAAAACTGCTGCTAAGATCTAAAACACCCAGTAACCATCCCAATAAGTTGTAGTTTACAACACCTGATCTGACATTGTATAGCGGAATAATTCAAGATACTAATTCCGATTTACCAGATTCTTAACGATTAGAAAATGTAATAAAGATGCTAGAAACATCTAAGACACAAACAAGACATTCTAATATTTTGAAATTTATGTTACCTGAGCTGACTTCAAAAATCAAAATCTTTGGTTCGGTAGGTTCCTCCTTTTTACCATGAAATTATCTATACAAAATATTTGAAACAGAAAACAACCCTGTACCCTCAAGAAAAGAAAAATATGTGTACTAGCTAATATAATGAACTAGCTAATTAGAGGCCAGAATGAAGACATAAATTTCAAAATAGCTAGCTTCTACCTATATGTGTGCACTGTAAGCAATTACATTTGCCGTGTGTGTACTTTTAGCCTTCGATGTGTATGTACTTGATCTGTATCCGTTGGTTAGGGTGTTTGAATCTTCTTAAAATTTAATTCCCTGTGCAAGCTTTCGGTTCTGTTTGTTATCTAGGATAATAAAACCCTGAATAGTATATGATGTAATTCACCTGTAGCATACTTATTAAGGCCTTTATCACAGAGCCTGTTTTGACCCCAGAAAACTGTAGGATGTAAAGTTGCTATAGCCTAAGATGACTGAACTAAGTAAAGATATAAAGTTAAAAGAGCGAAAGCGTCAGCAAAATGCTAAAGCCAGGGCGAAGTACACATCATTAACTGAAGAAGAAAAAGAGCTACAACGGCAAAAGCCAGAGAGGCTTATACAAGAAGAAAACAGCAAAGTAGCAAGGATGAAATGCCTAGATTGTCATTGGAGCAGCCTTTAGATGCAAATGATACACAATATCATGACAGTAGTTTACACAGTACAGGTAGCCTGTCTTTCTGTAAGAAGCCATGACACATAAAATAGGTTCCACTATGCTGACAAATGTTTGAACCTCATTTTTTAGATGTGCACTACTCAAGTGAAACAAGCTGCAAACATACACCCCAAGAAACAGAACCTTCAATTAACAATGCAGGTTTGATGGCCTAGATTTATGTCTATTGTAATACTAAAGTAAAAAGCAAACAAAATATTAAAATACATGTCTATTGTTTTACCCATAAATATATAGGCTCAGCCCTAGATGTTTGCTCCCAGAAATCATGCCAGCATAGTTCCCCACAGCGACACTCAGGTTCATTGGCGAATAGACATTCTATATTTTTAGAGTAATGTTACTTTAGGTTTCACATATACTACGAAACTAAACTTCAAAATGACCAATTCTAGGCCAATCACCAGTATGCAGTAGTTGTATGAACCCGTTGACCGAAGCTATGAAAGATTTGCCCAACATAACTATAGCCGAAGGTAACACTCTAAAAAGAAATTAGTTGTCTATAGCATGATGTACAATCTTCATAAGCAGTGATGACTTTCAATTATTAATATAGGATGCTCAACTTCAGTGGTTGTGAACAACAGGATAACATCTTCTCAGGGGACGACATTAAAGCAAAGGACAGGTTAAAATTTTCAAATATATAAAAGCACCACCCATTTTGTACATACACCCCAAAGAAACTAACCAAACATAAGAATAAATTCTTTCTAACGACCTTGAACCCATTGATTACTGCAATCTACAGCAATGAACAAAGAAACTGCGAAAAAGAAGCAACCTAGACATCGTAAACAAGGTGAATACACATCTAAGCTAAGAATTTTTTAAAATGACATAATATAAGAGCCTAAACCAAATTTTTTCATATGTAGGCAAAGCTGTGACCAAGCGAACTGAATTGTTATCCTCCGTTGTCTTAGAAGCTGATACTTTACCAGAAGTAGCTGACTGTAAGTATTGCGAGGCAAAAAAATTCTATTCGGAAACCCCTAATTTCTGCTGTTCTGATGGAGAAGTAGTGTTGACAGAAAATAAGCTTCCAGATGTATTGGTTGAATTACTTATGGGTGAAACCGAAGAAGCCTTATGTTTTAGGACATACGTAAGACCCTATAATAGCATGTTTGCCTTTACATCGTTTGGGGTCCACTATGACAAGTCATTATGTAAGAGAACAAACGGGATATACACATTTAAGATACAGGGACAGACCTATCATTACATAAATCAACTTATACCTCATGGAGGTTCAGGGATGTTCTTACAACTATATTTCCATGATACTGAACGCGAGGTGGAGAATCGAATGGCTTTTTCTACAGAACTCAGTGAGAATGTGGTCTTAAAGCTCATTGAAGTTATGAAAAACAATCCTTATGCCTGCTTCTTCCGTAGTCTAAGACATGTCCCCAATTTAGAATCCTATTAGATAGTTCTCAAAACTCATTGTGATAGTGATCAAAGAGTTTTCAACAAGCCAACTATGTCTCAAGTGGTAGCGCTTTGGGTTGAGGGTGAAGGCTCAGAACAAACATATTCTAGGCATATTCAGGTGTACACTCAAGATGGAGAAAGCCATAGAGTTCAATATTATTACGGTTGTTATGATCCTCTGCAGTATCCATTACTATTTCCCCTAGGCGAAACAGGATGGCAACCAGGAATTAGGAGATCCGGAACTGGGAACCCAAAAAAAAAAAGAAAAAGATGTGCCAAAATAAAATGTTTGTAATTCTACTGGGATTTTCTGAGTGTAAGTTTGTAATTCTTTCTCATAAAATAAAATGCTAAAATTTTTCCATACAACTTTTGCTAAAACTCAACAGAGGTCAGAGAATTTTCAATAAATGTTAAGCTAACGTATTAATTGCCACCAACTTGAATAAATTTTCTC